TGACCTCAGCTTGTAGTTTCAGGGGTATCAGGACTGGCCAGGAGCAGTCGGGTGAGCAAGTGAGCTTTGCTTTCAGATTCTTTCTGAGATTCCATGAACTGTGAACCCAGGAGGGTGCAGGATGGAGAAGGCCAGAGGCTGGGTAACAGCCAGGTACACTGAGGGAGGCCTCCTGGGCTGGGCCTAGGGCAGAAGGCCAGGATTGGGGGTTGGGGCTGTCGCACAAGAAAGAGAGATGTGGAACCCCGCGGTGGCCACACGGTGGCAGCAGAGTCAGGACCTGACTGCAGAAGGCCAAGCAGGTGAATCCACCACTGAGCCAGAGTGCCAGGCCTGTACGGCCCACCCAGCCACCTCAGGACTTCTGGCGGGTTTCCGCAAAGAAGGGGGAAAGAACAGGGGAGTCAAGGACAAAGACAGTGAGCAGTGCTAAATCCCATTGAACCTATTTTGTGTTCTTTCCACTGAAGACTCCAAAGAAGAGGGAAATTTTACCTGTTTCCCCCAATTAAGATAGGAATGTCTTAGGGCCAGCCAAATAGCTCTGTGGACTAAAGCTCCTGCTTAGTCAGGCACAGTGGTTGAGGTTCGATCCACGGCCCCCAGGGGTGCACTGAACCAGAGATGGAGATTGAGACTGGGGGTGCTGGCGGCCACCTGTAATGCAGCTCTTGGGAGGCCAAACACAGGAGGATCACTACGAGTCCAATGTCCATAGTGAGACCCTGTAGACCCTGTAGACTCTTACTAAAATACAAAAAAAAAAAAGCTAGGAACCCCTTAACACGGGTAGGGGTGGTGCTCTGACCCTGACGAAGCTCAGGCAGTGGCAAGTGCCTTTTGCTGGAATCTTCAGTGCTAGTCACAAAGCGTCCCCCAAAATTTGCTGGTGGCAGGGGCTAGGGAGTGGGGAAAGGACAGAGAGGAGCAGTGTCCTGGCCAGTGTGTTTCATGGCTCTTGTTTCAGACTTCAATTTCCCACCAATCAGAAGACCCTCTCACTATTAGAGGCTCATGGTCTAACCCACATCTACGGGCTGCTTACTTTTTTGGGCATGAGAAGAGCTAAGTGTCTAGGGGTGATGTCAAAATTGTTTAAAAATGCTATACAATGACTTGACCATTCAGTGTTGCCCTGAACGTCCAATGCCCATCAGTTTTGTCTCCACTCTTTGTTTCTTTCCTTGGAATGCTTCTCAAAAATAATCCTGTCTTCCAGTTTCACAATCAAGGACGCATGCCTGACCCAAACCGCTGGGTTCTGCGATCTTCCCACCTCATTCTGCTAATCCCTGCACCACAGACTCTCTTGCTTCTTTAAGGCCAAACCGGAGAATTGTGGGTCAGGATGAGGAGGATACTGCATGGGCCACGGCAGCTCAGTCACAGCAGATGTCACTCTGGGTCACTGGGAAACTGGCCTTGGCTAAAGTTGCAAGCTGTGACCACAGCTGGGAGAAAATTTTAGGATCAAGACAGAGGTGGAGGCCTGGGAGAACACATGGGCGGAGGGCCTTCCTTTCTGTGACTCTACCTTAGTTGGTCAGGACTCCTCACCTCAACCCCAGACTATTTCTGCCCTTCGGAACTTGGGCCAAAGGATGATGTGGACCAGCTACAAGCTTTTACTGCCAAATTAACTTGCCCAGCCTTGCCACAGTGGGAGCCCCGTTTCTGCAGATCATAGCATCTTACTTAGATGCAAGCATAGAGCCTGGCTTTTGTTCTCTCATCCAGCCTGGGTTCTAGCCCTGCAAATCCTTGTGTCCTAGCTTGATATCCTAATCTTAGTTTCTAGATTTTCTTAGTCCAGATCTGAGTTTTGTTACCTAGAAAATTCATGTCCAGACTCAACTTTCTGTCTCCTCCAATACATTACTTCCATGCGGGATTTTATGCACTGTTTCCTTTTTACTTGAGCTCTCCCAGGCCCCTCTAATCTACTGCTTGATTTTGGAATCATCCACAAGCCCCGTTTCTAGGAAAGTCATGACACAAGCATGCAAGAGAAGGAAAGGCAGCAGGTATCTTCAACATGCGTGTGTACACGCTGCCCAGCTGCCCTTCAGCCCTCTAGTCCTTAGAGCCAGGGCCACTCACTTCTGAGCTATAGACTTAACCCTTTAGGGGCTCAGAAGGCAACTGAACCCCGAACCAGGGGAAAGGCAAGGTTGCTCAATGTCAAATCTGGGCTCATCTCAGGGTCTGCTTCACCTCGAGTGTGACTTAGGGCCACTGGCCTGGGCTTGATGCCCGTAGGTACCTATCTGTGCCCCAGGGTCATGGTTTTCTACCTTAACTTCCAGTGCTAGTACAGTGATACACTCTCCATCCTCATCTTTCTGGCCCATCATTAATAGCTATCTCATCTGGTTATTCCTGCTTCCTGGAGGACTTTCTTGTTTCTCTCTCTCTCTCTGTTTTCTTTTCTTTCTTTCTTTCTTTTTTTTTTTTTTTCTTTTTTTTTTTTTTTTTTTTTTGTATGTGCATTGTCCTGGGGTCAAACCTAGGGCCCCAAGTGAACCAGGCAAATGTTCCACCACTTCATC